TGAGAAGTTAGATTGCTTGTGAAGCACTTGGGTATAGAAGCAATTTCGGCATCGAGGTTGAGAACGAAGTATTTCAGCAGTGACTGGAGTTGTCCGAGAAGAATCTGAATGTGCGCGTAGTGAAACACATTTAGATGGTAAGTGATCCGGCATTCGTAGGACTTTTGTGACGGCTCAATCTCGACCAAAAGCTTAGTTTCTAGGTAGTCCTGATGCGACAGTTGCCGAACTACACCATCGGCTCGGTTGCGGCTTTGTATTGAATCTTGATATACGAATAGAGCATCATATAATGGCTTGCCGGAAGGGACCATGGCGGCCTTCTTTATTTCCATCAGAGGTAATGTGCAATGAGCGAGACTTTCTCGACTAGTCGCATGAATACCTTCCAACAAATCTCGAACAGTTCGGGCCTGGCTGATCTTGGTTCTCAGCGGAATCGTGGTTAGACAAGGGCCAACAACGTTCTCTATATCCAGAATTGGTATTGTGCGTCCTGAGGTCACTGTGCCAATGACGACGTCATCACTTCCCAGTATAGCACCCCAAAGCCATATAAGGGCGGCTTGGAAAAAGACTTGTGTGCTGCATTCAAGCTTTCTTGACAAGGCCACCATGTCAGCTGGACTGATATCAATTGCTCGAGACGCTGAGAAGACCATATCATTTGTGGCCTTTGCGACCAGTTGTGGCATGGGCTTGATCTGAAATCCTTGGAGCTGTTCCGCCCAGAACGTCCTAGCTAAATTAGACTCCTGTGCGTAGCTATTTGACTGATAGTATTGAGAGACAGCACTAAAATGCGGCCGCTTCGGCAATACATCTCCCTGTGACAGGGTGTTCAAGTCCGACAATAATAAATCGAACGACCAACCATCGTAGATTGCGTGATGAAGTCGTAATAGCGTCCGGATTTTCCCTTTCGGTGTAACCGAGATCTGTACATCGAATGGTCTCAGAAGGCCCTCCTGATCGCAGATTTCGAATTTATTCTCAGGCCGCTTGACTCGACGGATTTGGGCCTCGTCCAGTGCCTTCCATACAATTTGAACGAATTTGTTGTTATATAGGACGAAGCCAGTGCGCAGAGCTTCATTAAACTCTGCCAATGTGTGGAACCAAGATACGACAGACTCCAATGTGCAAGGTTTCCCAAATTCCAGTTCGTTCCAATTGCAATATGCTGTTGAGCTTGCCATTGTTTCTGATAGCATGGCCGCTTGTACCGGCGTGCATGGTAAGATTTCCTTGATTTCTTGAGCCTGGGATTGAAGAGACGGTGCTGCTGCTAAAACCTCATCTATAGAGGTTGGCGGTCTATCAGTTTCCGGTTCGGGTAATATCGCTGCTTTCTCCGCCTTTGCATCTCCTTGCCTCTGATCTATGACTTTACGAAGACCAGAAATAGATTTAGAGCCGAGTACATCTACGGCACTGACGTCGAACCCGGAATTCCGCAGCAAGGTCACATATCTGATTGCGGTGATCGAGTCCATGCCTGATGCTGCAAGAATAGAATTACTGTTCAACGTAGTCCCAAGGACTTCTTGAGCAAGATCGATTATTCTCGACTCGATTGCGTCGGAAGGGTGATGATTAGCTTCGGATTCTGTGGTTCTGGCGTTTGAATATCGAGCCTTCAATTCTTTGCGGTCCACTTTCCCTGAAGCTAAACGCGGAAAGTCTTTCATGAGTACAATATCGTTGGGAACCATGAAAGATGGAAGCCACGATTGGCATGTCTGCACAATCTTGGCTTCCATACCCTCTTGGTCATCGACCTCACAGAAAAGGACAAGAATGCCCTGAAGGACGGCGGCGACTGCGCCATGACAGCCAGCTGTCCGGAAAGCTGCTTGCTCAATCTCACCAAGCTCGATTCTTTGACCTCTGAGTTTCACCTGACCGTCTGATATTCGGCCGAGACACTCGACACGTCCGTCTGGGAGAAGCCGGGCCTTGTCCCCCGTGCGGTAAACACGACCATAAGGGGTTTGAATAAATGCGGCCGCAGTTTGCTCCGGTCTGTTGACATAGCCAACTGCAAGTTGATGTCCTCCTACTGCTAGTTCGCCTATTTCGCCTACGGGTAATACCTCGAAACTCGATTCGGCCCTACCGTCTTCTAATGGCTTAACCACAAATGATGAAACCGTATCCAGGGGGACGCCAATATTGCCAACGATCGAGGAACTCGAAAATTCAGTTTGAAGAGTGCAATGAATTGCAGCCTCTGTTGGCCCATACATCGCCCAGAGGATGCTAGGCTTTCCAGAATCACCCCCAAACTCCTTAATGACTGGATCCGTTAACATTTCGCCTATCGTCAACAAAAGGCGAAGCCCTGGCGCATTGGCTCTGCTTCGAAGCAGACTCCCGGCTACTGTTGGTGTTAATTCGCAAGCGTCAACTTCCATCTTCCTGAGCACGGCTGGCAGGTCGTTCAACATTTCAGAGCGATCACAACAGACCAGAGTGCGACCCTTGAAAAGCGGGAAGAAGATTTCGAACACGGAGACATCGAACGTTGGCGCTGCGAATTGAAGAAATCTTGAAAATTTCGGTATGTGGCGATCATGGGCAAGGAGGCTCTGTGTTGCTGCGTCATGAGATATCCCAACCCCTTTCGGAGTTCCTGTTGATCCGGATGTGTACATGATATATGCGAGATCGTCTGGGGCTGGCTTTCTAAAAGCGGTTTGTAGGCTCGTTTCTTTGTCAACCCTTAATGCCTGGTTTTGGTCAACTAATATTAATATGATCTCAATTTCTTCGGGGATTTTTGAGGCAAAGTCAGAGTTCGTGATCAACACTCTTGCTGAGACATCTCCGACGATGAACTTCACGCGTTCCGGGGGCGCATCAAGGTTCAATGGGCAAAATGCGCCACCAGCTTTCAATATCGCCAGCTGGGCGATATATAGAGCAGGGCATTGTGGAAGCAAAACGGGCACGACGAGCTGTTTTTGATCGTCAAGAGGACCTGGGTAGGCCTCTATGATGCGCTCAGACAAGCTTCCGGCGGCTTCGTGGAGCTCTCGATAGGATGTCTTGGACCTTTTCCCATTTGCTGCCAGGAATTCAAGAGCGGGAGAGGTTTGATCTGACGCGTTCTGTGAGACCAACTCATGTAAGAAGGAAGGCCCCGATAACCTCGAAGGGCTTTTGTTAACGATAGAGAGCCTCATGCCCGGGACACTATCCGAACTAAGATCATCGTTGACCGCGGCCATGGTCAGCTTTGGGAAGACCGGGAGGCTTCGAAGAATGGCCCCTGTGAATAGTTACAGCTGATCTCCTTTCATCAGCACTGAGGCGGCTTGACAACAATGTTGGCAGGACGTGAGGAAAAGTCCAACTAAGGTCCCCTAGAGCATGGGAGGATCGGCGGAGATTCGGAAGTCGAGCAATCCACCACCCCCACGATCCAAGACGAAACAAAGCGAGCTATTCGCAGATGAGGTTACGTCGCCCATCCCCCATACCGTACCGTACCCTGAACCTGGAAGTCGCTTTTCACCGGCCCCAGCACAATCCAAGGGATCTTGCATAGAGCTACAGCCAATAGCAAGGGGTCTAAAAGTCCTGATCGGGGATGTGGATGTGAGAGGGTGCTGCGAGGGCTGTGCGAAGGGCCACGGAGAGACGAGATATTAGTGATTACGCAGCAAACAGACCAATGCGAGGCCGTCCTTTTGTAATGGTGCCGGCGTGCTTGGCCGGAGGGGGCGTTTTCGCACGTGTAAGTGTGCCGCCTCTGGGTCCTCTTTTTGTCTTTTTTTTGGTGTGATGGAGTGGAAAAGGCTGAAACGCCACCATCTGATTGATCTGGGTGCGTTTGCCGAGAGGAACGGAAGTGGAGGAGGAGGAGGAGCTGGAGGGAGGCCGTTGACTTTTATTTGCATGGCGTCATGATTCATTACCATGCTAACGCACGCTGTGAGTCGAATGTGGTGGGATGCATCAGGCGGCCATGGCGAGAAAGACAAGCGTCAAGATAGCGTAGATAGGCCCTAACTGCCCTGTCCTTAGGGCTCCCCAATACCCCGAGCTCCTTGCCCGAAAAGACCGGATCATCATACTTGAATACCTACAGCGCGATACCCGCGCATGCCATCGATGTTAAGCTCTAGATACCTGGTTGACCTGGCTGCGCACCTGAGCTGCCTGAATGGCTTACTCAATTCTATCAAGCAGCTAACACGTTAAGCCAGGCTGCTTAGGAATGACCAGCTACTAGTAGTCTAAGCTAATTGAAAGAGACAAGAACGGACTCTAAACTACATGCCTTGAGACAAGAAAACTCACCTTCAACCCGAAGCCCACCGCAGCCTTGTGTGCTGGAGAATGTGCTTTCAACATGGTTTGGTTCATCTTCAGACCCATCCAGCTCGGTGACCGAGGTGACCACATCGGTGCTATCCGCATGTAACGCCACAAATGGATCACCCACATCCGCATTATTATCAATTACAGGGTCTTCTAGCGTCGGATCTTACACATAGTGTACACAAAGCGGATGGATCTCTCGCGGCGGGTGACGAGCCCACGCGGCCTGCAGTTGCATAACAAGATCAGCCAAGCTGGAAGAGGCCTAGATCAGAACGCATCCCGAGACGGGAGGACGTGGACCATGCAAGCTTTTACGTAGGGAGGTATGGCCGGCTTCTCGAAACGTTTTGAAAGGTTGCTCTAGTTATCCGGGAGTTTATTTGGCGGTGCACAGAGCAACTCACGAGAGTTGGTGAGCCGCTGCAGGAGGAGAGGCTCAAACGCAAATTTGGTCCCCGAGTCACACAAGTGAAGACTCATCGTGATGTGACTTGGATCTTGGAGAGTTGAATTATAACCTTCACAGTATCTAAACTCCATTGTGAATATTAAAACCCTAGGAGTTGTCTGGAAACATGACACAATGTTGTGTCTGCTTCAAAAACGAACACATTTTACGCTTCCCTATCTATACTTTTTCGCCCATCACCAAACAATTGCGTCCCGGTCTACAAGTGTGCTCTCACGACGCTCCCCTCCTTTGTTCCGAAGATAGACTTGACCATTTCTCCAGATCTCGTTGCCAATACTGAAAGAAGGGTATCGCTCAGCTAGAGGAATTGTTAGTTAGAATACCATGTCTGTAGTTATGTTGAAATGTTGCACTTACTCCGTGAGTGCCTTCACAGCAACCCTGAAGCCAGACACCAGAGCCAGGGGCAACAACACCCGGACGGAACTGTACGCGATAGTCTCGTGACACCTCCATGACCCTGCATGTCTTGGTCACGTCCCGGACCGCCCACTGGTCTGAACGTTCTGGGTTGTCTTCCTTGTTCTGAGGGAGCAGGTGCCATGCATCCTTGAGCATCTCTACATGTGCGTTTCTGCGGTATCCAGTAGCTGCGATGATGAGATCGACGTCCAGCAACTCGTCGTCGTCCTTCACAACTTCAACAGCCTTGGCACTCTCCTGTGTCTCGACATCTACGAGGCCATCCGCTTCCAAAGCAACCTCGCCGGCTGGCGCATGGCGCACACGAAGACGGAGCCCGTTAGAGGTTTCTTCAACGCCGACCACGCGTCTTCCACCTAGAATTCTGTGTGGCCACTTCGTCTCGTCGCTCCCGATCTCCCGGCGCTGGTCGTACATAACTTCGTAAAGTTTCTCAATAAGCTCTAGCCGAACAACACCGTAGTTTGTGGCCTTTGCGTCACTGATAAGACTCTGGCGATATTGAGGTGGCCGGGGATAGAGGACATCCACGAATTCCGGATTGAAGATCGAGTTCACGCTGCATATATAATTAGCTTAGATCTTGCTCCATTGCGCAATTTACTCACAAAGGCGAGTCGTCGCTGGGCTTGAGGAATTCCGACTTCATCACCAGGGATGTTTTTGAGTTTGGATACATGACTTGAATATTGTTGAAAATCTCAGCGGCACTCTGCCCGGCTCCCACGACTGCCACCCGATATGGCGCATCCTTATTTTTCAGAATCTTGGGAATCATATGCGCATACTGGGAAGAGTGGACGACCTTGGGGTGGTTTGCTGGCAGCACTTGCGGAATAGATGGCTGGCCGCCCACTGCGAGAACCACATTGCGAGCACGGTGCTTGGTTATCGCGCCGGTCTTTGTGTTCCTGGAGACTACAGTGAAGGTCCTCACAGAATCGCTTGTTTCGATATCGGGGACGACTGAAACTACTTCATTGTTGTAACGGACTACGTCGCTGAAAAAGCTCGCGCACCACCGCAGGTAGTCTTCGTACTCGATTCTGGCGGGCAAAAATGTGCTGAGGTTGGTAAACTCGACGAGTCTGTCGTTCTTGTGAAGATAATTCAAAAATGTGAAATGCGATCGCGGGTCTCGCAGTGTTGCGAGGTCCTTGACGAAGGAGATTTGCATCTTGGCCCCTGGAAGCAGCATACCAGCGTGCCAGGCAAATTGCGCCTGCTTTTCCAAGAATAACACATTTGGTGTGCGTGGAATGCTGCCGTCTCTCAGCGCATCATGGAGCGCAATCGCGATTGCGAGACTGGCGGGGCCGAATCCAACGCAGAGAAGATCATGTACGGGACCGCCCGTCGGCGCCTGTGGCCGACTTCTGCTCTCGCGAGCTCCGTCAGGCCCAGAGATATGGAAGTCGCTCTGAGAAGCCATCGCGATTCCCAATTCAAAAGTGTCTGATAAGGAGGCTGGTTTAGGACTTGGGGGGAGCTGTCTCAGACTTCACCTAGGTAAATGCGAATTGAAGTAGCCCGACTAATAGCTTTCGTCATACGTTCGTGTAAGACGAAGAGTGAAGAGACAATAGCACTGCGGGATGACGGCGCGGGACGTGCAGAAGCTCCCAATGGCCGATGAATCATGATGGAGGGAGGGACTGGAGAATAAGTACCTTATGCTATGCTATGTGAGCCACCACGCCTCGGCAACGGCCAGCTTCGAGACTAAGGTTGTCTTGCTTCTACTAGAGTACATAAGGGTGCTGGTGGACTGTCCACCCTTACATGAGGTGCTTGGTTAGGGCGCCCGAGGAATCATCAATCGAAGACCTAGGCCCAGATAAATTTGCAGCTCTCCGCCAACGACGCTTCAACGTGCACATGCTTGTTCAAGCTTCGGCCTGCGACGGCCGGCACGTAGCTGGACCCTTTCCCATCAGGGAATCGATATGCGGAGCAAATTTTTAACATTGCATCGCATCGTCATTACACAGGGATATGTCACAACCTTAGCCCGGGAAGTCTAAGTCTTCTAGCCTACCAGTGCGTCTGTTAGTTCTCCAATAGGCCGTGTCTATGTGCCTGACTTGCAGGCTTGGTGGCGAAAATTAGAGCTCCTAGCCATACGAGATGGTAACCTAAGCCGGGTTTGCGCGACATCGGTGATTATCTCTGGATCTGATAAGATCAAACAGCGGGGCATCGTCGGTGCTCATTGAAACAATTCTGTCCTCTCCCCTGTCTCCGAAGGCGGATGTTACTCTAGTGGCTTGAGCCTGCCCTGAGCGGTCAAAAGGTGGACGGCGGTCGGTCAGCGCCATCGTACGACACAACTGACGATGGCAGCGATCTTCAGGATCTCGCAGCTTCATTCCTGATCTTTCGGTGCTTCATAGTTCTGTGGCCGAAGCATGGCCGGGCTTGGTCCCTGTTACCAAGGGCTTGGAGCTGGTAAGCCCGAGCATCGTGCTGTGGACGCATGTCTCGGTTGTGACAGATAGAATATTCTACCACGACGCATGGAAAAAAAACCCTCGTCCCTGACTGATTTAGGACTAGGGAACTGAAGCAAGAAAAAGGACACTCGGTATATAAAGTCGTCTGGAAGTATCCATGCTTCTTGTGCCCCCCCTGTAACGTCGGGAAGCTTAGCACAAAGACGGTAGAAATCGCGGAATTCGGCGAAAATAACATGATTGGCTGTAGATGATCAGATAAGATCGACTCATGTCCATGTGTGGACTTTGGCGGATGGGAAGAATCGGGAAGGTAGCGCAGCAACTGAGCAGAGTCTGTGAAAACCCTAGCTGACCCCTGGTCGGCTTACGCTGGCCAGCGAACGGCACATACAAGGTACTACCGTACTACATAGTATAGTATAGAGGAGCTCGATGAGGGGAAAGAAATGAGGACGATCTCCATGTCGAGCGGGGAACGGTCTCTAGCTACTCTAGTCTAAGCGACGTCGGACAAGGACACAGCGAGTGCGTGGTTTTCTGCGCAGTGGGAACCATCGTTATGCATGGGTCAGCAGTGAGTGGGTGGGTTTATGGCATTACGCAACAAAAAAGAACTATGTGCCTCGGACGATCCTCTGTTTCTTTTCTTCATCTCGCCTGATGTGCTGTAATGCTGCAGAACGTCGGCGCAGAATGCTCGATCGGGATGCCGGACACGGCACCGGGACAGGGTTAGGGCCGTTGAACTGTTCAGGGGCCAGACCGACGACCGAGACAACGGGACCCGAACGCGCGGGTCAGGGCATTTGAGAAGCGGAACAGAAGCATGGACGCGTGGTGGTAACGCAAGATGATGCCGATCATTTCCATTCTTCGGGGACTGTTTTCGAGAAGGCAAAGGAGCTTACGGAGTCCTGTCAGGCTATCGTGGGCGGCAGTGGATAAAAAATCTAATTTTTTCTTCTCGTTTTGCCGTGAGAATGCTATGTTAGCCAATACATCGCTGGAGCTGCCAAAGCCCTCCTGCATGTAACTCAAGGGACGAAGGACTCGGCTATTGTGTCGATGTTATCTGCCCTTTTTGAAGACCATGATGACGAGCCTTCTCCTTGCGATTTAACATTGTATCATTATTGCACAGTTATTAAGATCGTAGTGGTGGTAGTGTAAGTGAACGGCAAACTTCGCATTGCTCGTCGACTGTGGCCCATTCCATTGTAATGCCGATCCTTGCCAATGAATGGCACACACTGAAAGAGGGAAGCAGCCACAAACGGTCCCTGCATCTTCAGCGCCACTCCCGCTGCACCCCAGAGCCTTTCAACAGCCAAACGCCCTCCATCGCCTCTGTCCTACCACAAAACGTTATCACGGGCGACGGCGATGCTTACACTCAGCATTGGATAAAGCGAGCGCTACTCCGACCGTTCTTTCGTTAATTGTGCCCTAATCAAGAGTTACGAAGGTGCCTTGTGATCATACATTGCTACGCTGCATCCAGGTTCAGTCAATTCATCGCCATCCAATAATACTTTCCTCGAGCATGAATTCATCATTGTTAAGAGGCAGAAATACTATAAATGTGCCATCAATCGCTTGGCGACATTTCAGCTCGGGTCAAAGTGTAACGTTGTTGGCTTGTGTTGTGTAGATCTGCGACGAGAACGCCGCAAAGTTCGCCCGTCTTACGATGCATATTGGACTCCTCTATCTGCCCCTGCTTTTGTTCCGCTTCATAAGGCGCCGACTGCTTGTGCGACTGAAATGAGTGATACCGCGCAGATAGAGGGAGGAGTATGTTTGGCAAGGACTCAGTTATAAGCATAGGCATTACTCATGGCCATTCCTATTGCCAGATCTCCTCTTCACCGCTCGGACAACTATTGAATGATCATGAGCTTTGTGGACAGTTTGCATCAAATTGACGATTGCAGATAATTGAATTTAGAGGTTTCTTGACGTCCTTTATAACCGCTTCTTGCTCGATTACCCATTATGGGCTATCCTCCTGACGAAAACCTGCCCGAGGTAGTGCCAGATCAGAGTCCTCAGGTCCTGTCGGCTGTTGAGGCGCGATATTTCGCTCCGGAGCTTGACGTTCGCGATCCCAAGTATCCTGTCACCTACGACAATGCTCCAAAGTACACGGCACCACTCGAGACGTACCCGAGCGTGGGCGGGCATCCGCAAGACTACACCAGCCCAGTCAGCAGTATTCCATGGGAACCAGCTTCCACAGGAGGAGATAGGTCTGCTTTTGGTACATATGAAAGTAAGAATAAGGAGCAGAGGATATGCGGCTTGAAGAAACGAGTGTTCTGGATTCTTCTCGTAATAGCGATGATTGTGGTCGCAGCTGGCGTGGGCGGTGGTGTCGGTGGTGGTATTGCCACAGCAAGATCGAAAAGCTCAGGAGATCCAGAGGGTGCGGTGGCGACGAGCTCGTAAGTGTTGAATCCAGTGCTATGCCTTGTCTGCCCTTTCCATCCTCCTGAACGAACTCGATAGAAGCAGTACCATCTCGACAAGCGCACCTCCAACCTCAACGACATCCCTGGCAACGTCTTCGTCCAGCAGTTCTGTTGCGCCGACGCCGACGTTTCTCAACAATCAGACAGCACCAGTCGGATTTGCGTTTCAAGCGTTCTCTGGTCGCAACTACACCGGTAAAGCCACGGAAGTCATCAGAGCGGAGGGCTTCACGGATCTCTCCTACAACTGCTCGAGCTACGTCTGGCTGCCTAATGGAACTGAATGCTGCGTCACATTTTGTAAAAATGAGACAGATAGTATCGGCTGGTGGTGCCAACCTCGCTATCAGACGAATGCCTCAGCGTCGTTCCAGAGGATCTTTGTTGGTTGCGGGGCGGCTTCTAGAGAGGAAAACTCGCGATGCTCATGACCAGATATAAGTCTGACCAATACGGAACCAATTTCGAGAAGCCATTCCAGCAAGTTGACTTGTTGAGTAGCCGTGGTTGAAGACAGACAAGCTTCGTTCAGGCATGAGCGTGATCAAATGTGATCAAACCCGCCCTTAAGGCCAGGAAGTGGCCCTCCGAGAAGGTGTTCATCCGAGCTTTTGGATTTCTTATGCATTAGACGGACTAGTTGAGATGCGTCATTTTCTCGTCAACGCGAACAGCCAATGCGTCAGTGTGGCGGTCATGCACATGTCGAGCATACTGCCGTGCAGTCTAGCAGCAATTGGCACTCCATACTCGCTGAGCCATTAGAGATGGTCGTCGGTGATCAGGTGGGCAGCATAGACTCACGTGGTGATGAGGAAGCGAGTGGGAGATAATCATTCCCCGAACTCAGGAACGGGGGAGCTAAGCACTGGGACGGACCGCACGGCAACTTCCCGTCGTGGCGTTGGATACATTCAGGGGATTCCGGCAAACCTGACTTCTTGACAATCCACTTCACTGGCAATGATTCCAGGCAATGGGCGTCTCAAGCAGCGGATCAGCTACTTGTTCGGCGATAGGTTTTGTCTCGTGAGACCGCCAACATGCACCACACCGCATTGAAGTGCCGATCGTAGGTGTGTCCTTGTGCCGACATCCGCTAGCCATCCGGCTTAATGGCGCTAATCTAGCAATCGCCTAACTATAAGTTACCTTCAATACCACTGCAGCTGCTGTATTTCGGCAGTCGAATTCCCATCGACCGAACTTACAGATCCTGGGGATCGGTAATCTCCTGAGTCTGCAGACAG